AGGGGAAGTCCTTGGGGTTGGGTGGTGGTTGGCCAGGTCTCTCGTTGGCCTCCATTCTCGGTGACGTGGAAGGGGACAGAGAAGTCGTCCTTGCCAAGCATCGTTCACAATGTAGAACCCGCACCTCAGCCCCCAAAGGTTAAAGCTCTGTGCGTTCAGAAGGTCGGTCTGAGTTTCGGGCGCCATCTGTGGTCATGGGCGAGAGGAGGGTTCAGCCTCCGTCACAGAGTGGAACGTGACCAGAGCGCGTTTGGAAAATGCGGAGTTTTACATGTTGATATTTGCAGACCAGCGTTTCCCAACTTACGCTCCGAACATTTGAGGCCGCCTAAATCTCATCCCGGGGACCGCTGGGTGCCCGGGAGTGTGCTGAGGAGCATCTGGTCTCCATGTGTAGGAATCAGCACAGTGTGACACTCCGTGACGTGTTGGGCTGGTGCCAGATGGCCTCACGGTGGGCGAAATTGCTCCTGTTGGAGAACCGCACGCAGGAGAGGTGGGTAGGTAGATAGATGGATGGATCAATCGTGGTGTCAGGAGGGTAGGGGAGTAGTGGGGTAGGTGGGGAGATGGATGGACGGAGAGATGGACGGATGGAGAGATGGATGGATGGAGAGATGGATGGATGGAGACATGGATGGATGGATGGAGACATGGATGGATGGATGGAGACATGGATGGATGGATGGAGAGGTGGATGGATGGAGAGATAATGATGTCAGGTAGGTAGGTGGATTGATGGAGAGATGGATGGACAGACAGATGGATGGATGGAGAGGTGGATGGATGAGAGATGATGATGTCAGGTAGGTAGGTAGGTGGGTTAATGGAGAAATGGATGGATGGACAGATGGATGGATGGACAGATGGTGGGTTGATGGAGAGATGGATGGATGAGAGATAATGATGTCAGGTAGGTGGTTAGGTGGGTTGATGGACAGATGGGTGGATGGAGAGATGGATGGATGGAGAGATGGATGGATGGAGAGACGGATGGATGGAGAGATGGACCGATGGATAGATACTGACGTTGGGTAGGTGGGCAGAGAGACAGGATAAAATAGATAATGGATTAAGGGGACGGACAGACATAAATGACAGATGTAAACAGTTGGCAGGTAGATTTACAGGTAGGTCCTAGAGAGATGAATGGACACCACAGATACTAACATCAATGGGTAGATCCACAGGTGAAAGGCAGATCAGGTGGATAAACAGACACACAGAGGCATGGACAGGTCACTGGACGGATGGATGGATGGATGGGTGGGTAGACAGACAGACAGACACACCTTCATCACCTGTGTTTATTCCTGTAATGAAACACCTGAGGGAATTAATGTACAAAACCAAAAAGGGTTGCTTGCCCTCATGGATCTGGAGGTCCAAGACAGAGTGTCCTCACATCGTAGTCCTCTGCTGAAGGACACCTCGTCATGGCAAGGACACGTGGCTTAGAAAACCACTTACACCGTGAGCCAGGAAGCAGAGAAGGACTGAGAGAAGAGGGTCCCACAGTTCTCTCTGGGGACAATGTCCCCAACAACCTGAAGGCGTCCTATTAGACTCCACCTCCTACAAGTTCCACCACGTCTCAGTAGTCCACCTTGGGGACCAAGCCCTCGACACGTGGGTCTGTTTGTGGACACTCATCCCAACCACAGCGCCATCTTGTCCCTGAAATTTCACGTCTCAGGGTCGGATGATCGCGAGGGAAGTCACTAAAACGTCACTGTCCCTCCAGCCCCAAGCCCCCATCCACACTGATGCCTCTGAGTCCCTTCTTCCAAGTTGGGAAAGGACTCATTTTTGACTGGGATGGAAATGCCTCCGTATTGATTCCAAGCAGTTGGCCTCTGGTCTCAGGGGTCTCCTTGGGTGGCCCTTTTCCTGGGGATGTTGACTCATGTGTCACGTTGTCACAGTGACCACCACTGACGGAAGCATGTACGATGGGGTCCACCGTCCTCCTCATTGAAGGAAGAATCCAGAACATTGCATCTGCAGGAACACAGCCATCCTCTAGTGACCAAAAGACCCAACAAGGACAACCTAAAAGAGAAAAAAAAAATAACTTGGGCTCACGATGTCCGAGGTCCAGTCCCTGGTGGCCGACTCCATGGCTCTGGCCCAAGGGGAGCAGAACAAGATGGCGGCAGGGCCTGGAGGAGGAGAGCAGCTCAGGACAGGGCACCAGGGAGCAGAGAGAGCTCTGCCCACCAGGGACAGGACAGAGACCCCAAGGCACAGCCCAGGGACCCCCTCCTCCAGCCACACCCCACCTGCTGCAGTCACCACCCAGTGAGTCCATCCAAGTGGATTAATCCACTATGAGTCTACACCTCTCACAACCCATATACTCTCCCCTAGTGCCCTGGGACCTTCCATTCCTGAGCTCAGATCCTCACTCTGTCACTCAGCCATGAAATATATTCCGCCCTCCGCATCAGGGAGCTAACCTCGGAGAGAAAATATCTGGAAAAAACAAAAAAAAAATCGTCTTTACGGAACGTGCACAAGAATCCTTCCTTGTCCAGGTCTCCTAACGAGTGTCGTTTAATGAGGTCTCTTAATGAGGTGGCGTGTGCACCCGGTATTTCAAGTCCTCTCAAGAATCACCCCCTTCTCTGAACATCCTCAATAGTCTCTTTAAGAGAGTCTGAATCCATCTACGTAAAAAAATTTGATTTTCTATGACTAAGCATAGAATTCAGATTTAATTTTCCATGAGTAAGCGCCTGTATCTGACCCACTTTTAAGAAATACGCACCGGGATCCTTCTCTCTTCTTCTCTTCTCTTTTAGATCTTCTGTGTTACGTATTTTCTGGGTTTTTTTTAAATTTTGATTTACTGAGTCGATCTCGGGGGGACCTCCAAACCCCATCGCTCTGACTCTCCCATAACCTCGATTCTAAGAGTCAGAACTTTGGGGACTTTCCACCGGATGCTTGCCCCTTCCTTCGCTGGGGTCACGAGGTTCTTCTCTGAAAAGCAAACCTGTTTTCCGCCTCTCGGCCTCACCCCAGCTACACGGACACGGCTGTCCGTCATCTGGTCCATCACCTCCGCTATTGAGGTGAGTCGTTCATCCACGGCGCAACCTTGTCCAAAAGTGAGGTCTCAATTTGCACCAATATTCCTGAAATTCTTTTTCTTTTTATTTTTTTTAAGAA